CCCCAAAACCCCAAAACCCCAAAACCCCTGGAGTATTAATAATCGATGGGAGTGAAATAGTCTTTATTATTATATAATAAAGTAAAGAATATTTACTTGTTTAAGTATACATACATAATTAACAAGGAGATGGAATTCAGACATAAATCACATTTGTCATAATAGAACAAGTCACATAAAAAGAACAGAACCAAATCTGGAGGGAAAATTGAGGTAAATCTTTCAATAATCATATACTGTGTTAGACTAAAGCAAGGAATTTGATGGGATCATCGAATGGTGTAGTAATAGGCAAGGCTCAGCGCTTCAATATGGAGAATGAGGCTCGTAAAATAAAGAGAGAAGATATGATTATGAAGCGTAGAGGACTCAACTTTGTAAGTGATTAGGTAGCTGAGTCTCTTGATGATCAATCAGTTGCTGTTTTGGAGTAGGAAGTAGATAATGTAGCTCCAAAGGTAGTTGCTATTCTAGGCTTGAATAGTGCCTGTGATGTAGCTGGCATGAGAATCGAAATGGTAAAGCACTGCATTGAATACCAAAAAAGTTTGATTAAGGGTAAGCATGAATCTTTGCAGAAGCAATAAGATGAATTAGACTAGTTAGACAGCCAGTTCAAGGCATACGTATGCCCTAACCCAGGTAGTTCAACCAACCTTGGAAGTAAAAAGCAAAGACTGATATTCCTTGAGATCAATAGAGAAGACGATGAAGCAGTTTTATAGGTAGGCAAGATAGCAGATTTAATCTTAGTGGTGATGTCTTGCGCCGAAAGTGATATTAAAGGAGTCAAAATTGATCCTGATAGATTTTCAAATGCTATTGATGAGACTGGATACAAGGCATTAGGGTTATTGAGGTCTTAGGGATTACCAGCATTAGTCGGAGTTCTGTAACACTTGGAGAAGCATAAAAGCAACAAGCAGCCTCAGTTGAAGAAACTCTTCCAGAGATACTTCGAGTCAGAGTTTACAAACCAGCACAAGTTCTTGAACTTCAACTTGGCTACAGCAGATACTGATGTCAATGCTTTACTTAGATAAATCGCAGTCCTATACCCCAATGAGATCACATGGAGACATAACAGGTCTTATATGTTAGGTCATATTACCAAAATATAAAGTAATGAAGTGCATGTGGAAGGTTATATTAAACAAAATTTCCTTAATGCTAAGAGATTGCTTCATATCACTGGAGTTAACAACTAGTTAGCTTTCAAAATAAAGAGAATAGAGATAGCAAAAGACCCATGTCCCATGAAAATCAGCAATAAAGAAAAGGAAAAGATTATGTCAACTTCAAAGGCTCAAAGCATCATTCAAAGCAAGAAAAATTCAAGAAAGGGTTCTATGGATGATATTAGTGGAAGTGTCAGTTAAAACGGAGATAATGTTAATAAAGTAATCTAGTAAATCAACCCATCAGAAAGAGATCCCTACTAGATTGAAAACAACCCAGGCTTATTCTGCGCTGAGCAAACTTGGCCAACAGAAGAAGAGCTTAAGACAGCCAAGCAAGCAAAAAAGAGCAGAAGAAAATCAGGTGGTGATGACGAGATGCAGACTGAAGATACCTTAGTAAGTTCCTACCCAGTTAGTCAAAGCAAGGCAGGAGCCTCTTTAGAAGAGATGTTCGAGAGAATCAAGATTGTAGGAAAGCAAGGTGAAGATAACAAATCAGACGATGCAGGCAGCATGCATGCTGACGATGAAGACGAGGATGATGATGAATTAGATGAGACTATGTTCAGAGAAGACAACAAAATCTCAATGAAGCATTAAAAGCTCACAGACCTCGAAGGCAGAGCTAGAGACGACATGGATTTCCCTGACGAAGTAGATACTCCTCTAGATGTTGAAGCTAGAAATAGATTCATTAAGTACAGAGGTATCAAGTCAATCAAGAACTGTGACTGGGATCCATATGAAAATCTACCTCCATCGTATAGCAAAATCTGGAGATTCCAAAGCTATCAGCAAGCCTACAAGGATTCAGTTCAGTAAGTGATTGAGGAAGGTCTCCCCCTGAATGGAACTTATCTAAGAATTGTTATTGAAGTAGAGGAAAAGACACTTCTAAGTAATACTAGCATTCTCGGTGAGGGGAAAGCAATCATTATGTCTACTTTATTCCCTCATGAGTGCAAACTCAGTGTCATGCATTTCAAGATTTAGAGGCACTTTGAGCACACCGAGCCAGTTGAAAGCAAAACTGAAGTTGAGATCCATTGTGGATTTAGAAAGATGACGATTAGACCAGTATACAGTTCAGAGACTTCGCCAGGAGGTCTTGGAGCCAGCAGCAATGAGAAACTTAAGTATCAAAGATTCTTAAGACATGACATGAGTGTGATTGCTTCCACATTCTGTCCAATTGTATTTGCTCCATGCAAAGTATTGATGTTTACTAAAAACAATGAGACAGGATCTTTGAGCACCTTGGCTACAGGTAATGCACTCCCACCAAACCCACTCGCAGTGATACTGAAGAGAATTATTTTGACAGGTTATCCTTTGAAGGTGCATAAGAAAAAAGCAGTCATCAGGTACATGTTCTTCAACCCCAAGGATGTTAAGTACTTCAAGCCAGTTGAGCTTTACACTAAGTTTGGATTAAGAGTAAGGATAAATTTAAAGCTAATATATATTTATAGGGCCACATAAAAGACTCTCTAGGAACACATGGTTTATTAAAGGCACAGTTCAATGACTTCATGAAGCAAAATGATACAGTCTGCATGCCTCTTTATAAAAGACAGTACCCAGTGTGGTTTGAAAAGACATGGACAGGCGAAGAGCCCAAGGATGAAGAGGGAGATCAAGAAATGAACTGAAAATTCTGCAAATACTAACTATTGAGTTGAAATGCTTAATATTTATTTATTTTAATTAACTGATAAGCGAATTTGCATAATATTTAATTGTACGGGGGTTTTGGGGTTTTGGGGTTTTGGGG